ACTTAATGAACCAGGACACTAGAGATCCTCAGGGGCTCAGTTGGTTGGAGGAAGGAACCAAGGAAAATTGTTTATTTCTTCCAAGCATGGTTTTAGATTTATATGTATTTGATTTTGTCAACAGGTTGAAAAGTGTCTGTCATAAAGAACTTGGAATGCTTGCCAGGCAATATGCTTAAAAAACAAAACAGCGGTTTTCTTAAATGTTAGCTGGGGTGAATTTTATATTTCTGTAGTCCAAGGTACTCACTTTTGGCTAACAAGTACATTTCTGGAACAGATTGCTCTGTCTGAATCAGAAAGCAGAGAAGAGAAGCAGTCAGATCAGCAGGAAGAACAAATGTTGCAAATGGAAGAAAATGCAGACAGATGGTTGAATCTGTGTTAGATCACACTGAACCATTGTGAAGGCAAGTAAGGACATGAATTGTTCAGAGCACGCATATAGTGAAGTGGGGGGAAATTATTCAATATGTGCATATAGATTTCCTGCTACTCTATACAGAAGGACCACTGATATACATGTATGATGTTGTCCTGGAGGAAATGAAAAGATTTGGCATTTCACCCCCAGAGCCCATCTTAAATTTCACATTTCCAGGGCAATTGCCTTCATTGGAGTATTTATCCTTATGGTTGTTTTGTTTGATGGGTTTTCCTTTGGTCCAAAGCTGGGAAATATTAGAAAAATTTGGAAAGATTTGCTTACTAAAAAGTCAGGTTATAAGTCCTCATTACTTCAATTGGTGCCAGATGTTCTCCAATTATTGTCAACCAAAATGTGAGAATTTTGCCTATAAAAGACCAAATTGTGAAGAAGGCAATAGTTTCTCCCACCCATACCCTAAATTAAAAATCAACTTTTCTTCTTTCATCATCTTCTTCCTTCAGAAGATTTGACCTCTGGAGCCAGAATTTCTGTTCTTGGATACATTTATGGCAGCCGGGTATTAAGAACCCAACATTATCTAATTTACACTGTAGTGTTTCTAATTGGTATTCCTTCCAGGGTTGGATATTTAAAAGAATTCTTAATCAGAATGAACACTAATTGGTATATTGTGTAGCAACATGGCTAATTTCTGAATATCAATTATATCAAGGTGGCAAGTCAATTCACTAAAGAAAGAACATATTTTTGGAACAATTGGCTAGCCATTTGGGGGAAATTAAAGTTAGATCCCTACCTCAGACCATAGAAACACACAGTAAAAGATTCAAGATTAATTATCATAAAGTTAAAAATAAAAGCTAAAACTTCAGAATAAAATACAGTAGGAAAATATTTTTTTTTTTTTTTTTTGCGAGAGAGACAATGAGAGACAGAGAGCATGAGAGGGAGGAGGGTCAGAGGGAGAAGCAGACTCCCTGCTGAGCAGGGAGCCTGATGTGGGACTCGATCCCGGGACTCCAGGATCATGACCTGAGCCGAAGGCAGTCGCTTAACCAACTGAGCCACCCAGGCGCCCTTTTTTTTTTTTTATTTGCGAGAGAGACAATGAGAGACAGAGAGCATGAGAGGGAGGAGGGGGAAAATATTTATATTGATTCAACAATTCCATACATAACCCATTGCTCATCATGACAAGTGTGCTCAGTAGGAGAATATTTTAATTACTCTCCATACTAAGCCTTTCTTGGTATGAAACATGACTGAGTAAAAATTTTTTAAATATTGAAAATATGACTACATAAAAATTTTAAATGTCTACACAGTGAAAGATACCATACACAAAGTTAAGATGATAAATGAAAAATGGAGAAAGTATTTGCAACATATATAATAGGCAAATAACGCCAGTATAGGTGGTATTTAAGAACACAGGCTCTATGAATGAGATTGCATAGGTTCAAATACTCACCAAACCACATTCTAGTGTTCTGACCTTAGGAAGTTACTTAACTCTTTCGGGCCTCAAGTTCCTTCATTTATAAAATGGAGATAATAAAATCTACTTGCTTGGGTTAGCTGAGAGCTATTATTATTGCCTATAATATATAAAGGATTAATTAAATCAATTTTAAAAGAGGGCAACCGATCCACTAAATGCTCAACATCAATAAAAACCTATCTACCCTTTGCATAATTTTCAGCTACTCTCTGGCACAGTTTCAATATATCAGTCAAATTGTCCTAATCTATATTCCTTATATTTCTTTGCTCCATATTTTACTGTCACTGTTACCTCAGTCTAAAATTTCTCCATCTAGTCTCTGCACATGAAAATATTACCCATATTTTAAAGATTATTTATTTATTTATTTATTTGAGAGAGAATGAGATAGGGAGCATGAGAGGGGGTAGGGTCAGAGGGAGAAGCAGACTCCCCGCCGAGCAGGGAGCCCGATGCGGGACTCGATCCCGGGACTCCAGGACCACGACCTGAGCCGAAGGCAGTCGCCCAACCAACTGAGCCACCCAGGTGCCCCACCCATATTTTAAATCCCAACACAAATCCTGCCTTCTCTATAGTGTGCTTGGTTAGTCAGCCAAAATGATGCATTCTCTCTGAATTTCTAAGGATGCCTTATAATACTAGTTTCTAGATATAATCCAACCTTGTTTTGTCCAGTGTAATGTATGTACATGTTTTATCTCCTATAAAAATTTGTAAATTTTCACAGACTAACATCACATGTTCTATTTCTGTATCCTTGCAGTGCATAGTAAGTATTCACTGTATAAATGTTTCATTTTTTTGTTTGTTTGTTTTCCCCCATAACACAGATCTACTACAGGGAAATCAGTGCGAGGATATACAGAATTACCGCACCCATAATCTGTCCACCTATTCTCTCCCCCAACCCATCTCCACCCACCCCATACACATGAAGTAACAAACTTTTACAAACAGCACATAGCTCCTTTATTTATTTACACTTAACTATAAGTACATGAAACATGATCTGAACTTTGTTTTGAAAAGCCACAATGTGGAGTATAGTTTGAAGGGGGGATGATGGGTGGAAGAATTAAGGAAACAATTTCAGTCTAGGTGAGAGATGATGGTGATTAGGACAGGATGGTAGCAGAGGAGATCAAGAGAAGGCATCAGATTCCAGATACATTTTGAAGGTAGAAGCAGTAGATTTCCATACAGACTGAAGATAGCGTGAGAGAAAGAAGTCAAAGATGATGCCAAATTCTAAGATATCAGCTGTACCACAGACTTCAGAGAATAAGCAGTCCAGATCAGAACAGGATGATGGAGGGCTGAGGAGCATAGGATTCCAAATGGGTTGGACACAAAATCTCATAGTTGGATATTTATAAAATTATATTAATAGGCATAACAGATATAGTGGAGTATGTACAAAAAAATAAGAATAGATACATAGAAAACAAACCAATAAACAAACTAGGCAATTATTAATCTCAGGACAAAAAATAACTATGTGAGAAAAGGCATATAAGCATAGATTTATCTAGGCTTTCCAGGAAACATTTTATAGTATTAATAATGTAAACACAGACTTAATGATTCAGCAAAAAAATATGACATAACTCTACTGGAAGGATGAGGGCAGGAGAAAAAGTATGAAGAACTAAATAAATTCTGAATTGCCATAACAGGAAGTCAATAGATGAAGTAGAAAATTGTCAAAATAAGAAATAGGATTATAAGCATATTCAGAGATGGAGGTAAACACAGAGGAAATCACTAACAATAGTTGAAAAAGGGAAGCCTATAGAATAGGGATTCCAAAATTTTAACATGAATAAGAATCATATTTTACTGGGCCCCATCCTCAAAGATTCTGATTCAGTAGGTTGGGGTGGACTCCATGAATATGCATTTCCAAGAAGCTCTTAACAATGCTGCTGGTCCCAGGCCCAAACTTTGAGAACTATTGTAAGAAGTAGACTAGGGAATTAGAATGAGTTAGGCAAAAGACAACTGTTTTTCATTATAATTATTATAATTATTTTTGTACAGTGATTCTCAAACTTGGCTGCTCATTGCAATCACCTGGGGAACCTTGAAAACTAGTGATGCCTAGATCCCATTGGCAGATGTTGTGATATAATTGATCTAGATACAGTCTGGTGTTGGCAGTTTTAACAGGTCTCCAGCTAATTTTTTTTTTTAAGATTTTATTTATTTATTTGATAGAGACATAGCGAGAGCAGGAACACAAGCAGGGGGAGTGGGAGAGGGAGAAGCAGGCTTCCCGCAGAGCAGGGAGCCTGATGTGGGACTCGATCCCAGGACTCTGGGATCATGACCTGACCCGAAGGCAGATGCTTAACGACTGAGCCACTGAGGCGCCCTCCAGCTAATTTTTTAAAAGATTTTATTTACTATTTATTTATTTATTTATTTATTTATTTACTTATTTTAGAGAGAGAGAGAGTGGGGGGGGTGGGCAGAGGGAGAGAGAGAGGGAGAATCTCAAGCAGACTCTACCCTGAGCGTGGAGCCCAATGTGGGGCTCAATCTCACAACCCTGAGATTATGACCTGAGCTGAAATCAAGAGTCTGACACCCAATTAACTGAGCTACCCAGGCACCCCTCTCTGAATAAATTTAATGGATGTCTAAGATGGAGGACTACTTTTTTAGTATAATTTTAACTATGTGCATGAATTAATTTTTAATATAAAAGCAATTATCTGTATGGTGTGCATGGGAGTGGGAAGAATGCAAAACTAAGAGTCAGAAGATGTGGGATCACATTTGGTATGATCTTCTGCCATAAGTTAGCTGTATGTTCTTGGGAAAGTCACCTAATATTTACGGGCTTTAGTTCCCCCATATGTAAAATTAGGATGCTGGACTAGTTATTCTCAAATGTTCAACTTCACATTTTTTGGAATAATAGCTGTAATGTTCTATGCCATAAAATCTGAAAATTTAAAAAGTATACAGCAACAAAAGTTCTCCATATGATGCTGAGAGTGATTATCATTAGTTATTAGACTATATCATAAATATTTTCATTATTTCTTTTTAACTAATATTATTTTTCATATGTACATATCACTTTTTCCCAGTTACCTATTTGTTGTATTCAGTCCAATAATCAATTCATCCTGGAAAAGAAAGATGAAAACAGTTGAGATGAATTTATATTTGATGGCAGAGCAGTATAGCACTGTCATTTCTCCAAAACATCATTTGCTAAATTGCATTCAATAAAATAACAAAATAACCCATCTTTTGCTCATTGAGAGTTATTTTCTCAATAGTAGTGATGAGCAGATCCTGATCCTTCTACAGTCTGTATACCTTTTCCTACAAGTAGCACCTACCTCTAAGATATCTCTGTTCCTCAGGCACCTGGCTGGCTTAGTCAGTGGAGCACGTGACTCTCGATCTCAGAGGCATGAGTTCAAACTCCATGTTAGGAAAAGAGCTTACTTAAAAAAAAAAGGATACCTCCTCCAGGCTAATTTTAAGGGGGCAATGTGTGGTCATAAATCCAGGCAAAACAAAGTAATTGATTAGAGTGGTGGCTAAGCTCCCTAGTGACTCCTTACCCTGATTTTCCTAGAGGCTTAATATATAATTGTGCTGTCAACTCTCAGTCATGAATACTAACAAAGGGAAATTTGGGGAATGAGGATTGATACAGATGATCCAATCTATTGGATTAACTTTACAATGCATTATATAGAGAGAACTTCCAATGTCTTCATAATTAGGTTTTCTTTAGAATAATTTAAAATCAGTTTTCATTCCTTGAGTCAATAAGTCAATAGAGATTGTTGTTATTATGTATGTAGAGAGGGGAACCTGGTCTAAAACAAAAAAATCAGTTGCCCATTATTACAGATGGATTATGAAGAGTAAGTTGTTTATAAAAGTAAATATATTCATGTGCATATGTGTTTGCCCATGACTTTGACCTCCTGCCTTTTGAGGAACTTTTTTGTCCAGATGGAAGTCAGAAGCTATAGTGATATAGTGCTGAAACAAAAGGTGAATTCTAAAATGAAATGAGGTCAGAGCCCTGTGCCATGATTTTGCAGGTAGTTAAAAATGAACTGAGAAGTCACCATCTGGTGGGAGGCATCTTAGGGAAGCAGCCACCTTCTGCTGGACATAAATAGAATAAAAGCTTGTTGAGTTATTTATTCTTAGATGGTTGTGATCATGTTTCGCTCTTCCGCAGAAATCTACCCATCTTACGATCTCATACTTGTAGGATGGATGCTCTTAGCTAATTCCGGGCTAGTTAATCAATTAATTCGTTCTGAGAAGTTTTGGGAGGAAGTCCCCTCTCTCAACACCTACGTTTGCCTTACCTCTCCAGGTAAAATATGAATGTGTTATCAGATATTAGACTTTTCTTGTCCATCCTTCTAGAAACACTAATCAAGAAATTTCAGGTGAGGTAGGAAAGTAGCTCAGCACCAAGAAGAAGAAAAACTGGGAGGCTAGTGGGATCTTGTACTTCCCCTGCAATCACAGCCTCTATGTGTAAGGGCTAGAAAATACACACCTACTTTTAGAAAGCAATTTATATGCGAAAGGAGATTTCAGCTCTGTTTTCTTACAGAAAAATATTGAGTATCATTCAAAATCATTTGAAGGCGATTTACAAATAATATAAAAAAAGAAGTAATCTGTACAATAAACAAGAATGCTAACTCATATTTGTAGAGGGTTTTTTTAAGATTTTATTTTTTTATTTATTTGACAGAGAGAGAGAGACAGCGAGAGAGGGAACACAAGCAGGGGGAGTGTGAGAGGGAGAAGCAGGCGTCTCTCAGAGCAGAGAGCCCAATGTGGGGCTCGATCCCAAGACCCTGGGATCATGACCTGAGTCGAAGGCAGACACCTAATGACTGGCCACCCAGGCGCCCCTGTAGAGTGTTTTATAAGTGTTTTCACAAAAATGATCTTATTCCTCATAACAACCCTGTGAGGTAGGTAAAGTAAGAAACTGAGATCCAAAGAGATTAAAAATGGAGCACCAGCATGTATATAGCTAGTACATGGAGGAAAGAAAGAAAGATGAAAGTGTTTGCTTTGAAGTGACCATACTAAAAACTACCATTTATTGAACACTTACTATGTTCAATCATTTTAAGGATATTATTGCATTATAAAAATATTATTATTATTTTTTAAAAGAACTTTTATTTATTTATTTATTTATTTATTTATTTATTTATTTATTTATTTGACAGAGAGAGACACAGTGAGAGAGGGAACACAAGCAGGGGGAGTGGGAGAGGGAGAAGCAGGCTTCCTGCAGAGCAAGGAGCCCGATGCAGGGGTTGGTCCCAGGACCCCGGGATCATGACCTGAGCCGAAGGCAGACGCTTAACGACTGAGCCACCCAGGCACCCCAAAATATTATTATTTTTTAAAGCCCAAAGATGAGTATCTACTAACAAAAGGAAAATGAAAAACTGACTTGCTAAAATTCTTAATTCAGCAAAAAGATTTAGGGCAGATGATGATGATGATGATGATAAGTATCATTTGCCGAACAGCTAGTATTTGCCAGACACTGTTCTAAGCACTTAATCTACCCAATGAGACAGATATAATTTATCTCATTTACACGTGAAAAAAAATATAAGGCACAGAGAGATTGACTTGCACGCTGTGTAATGGGATTACACAGTTGGTTAAATGATGGAATATTCTAGTATATGTGATGGGATACCAGATATCTGCTTAATTGGTTTTTCACTTTTAAATAATTCTTTAACTATCATGGAAACTCACCTATTGCAGACCTAACAAGATAACTGGTATTTTAAACAATTTATTTGTTTCCCACTACTCTTTTTTTTTCCAATGTGAGTTGTTTTCCTCCTACCCTTGGATTAAAGCTCAGGCAGGCCCCATATATTTTCTGACCACCATTAAGTAAAGTCCTACAATCATGTTAGGTCACAAATACAGTCCGAGTACATTATTATAAATGACCAACAACAGGTAATAATCAAAATGCCAACATTGTTTTAACATTAAAATCTTTCTACCTCTCCCAACAAGGGCCTGTTGCAGGCTAGACATCTGCAAGTTGGGAGTGAGAGAAGTCCTCCTTTTTTCCCCTGCTCTTCTTTCCCTAGCATATTAAGAATGGTTTCTGATTTTTGGTTTCCAACAGAGTTGAAGTTGGGATGGGGAGGGGAGAAGATATGAAAAGAATGAGAAAGGTCGTATATGACTATTACTGTTGTGAGGTGTCTTTGTGTTCTCTGTGACTGGAAGATGTGTAACTGACTTTTTTCACATGGGACATTTTTATTGGCTATTTGGAAATCTTTGACCCTGTTAAAGGCCTCTCAACTTGAGTGCCCTTGACCTGGGTGAATGGATTTTATTCTGGCAGTTAATTTATTCTCCCAGCTCCTAGATTCCCACAGCACATCTCCACTTCCCTTCTTCTGAGGTCCTTATTACCCTTCCAAGTAGCAATATTGGATAGAATCTAGTACAGATGCAGTGCTGGCTAAGGCAATTGCTTTTAAAGCTAGCTTTAACATTCACCCCTCATCCCATTTCCCTTTCGCAATGTGATTTTTCCACTCCTCCCGTGAAGAAATGGGGTCTATTTTCCTTCCTTTTTAAACTGGGATGATCCTAATAAAATGAAGTAAAGTGATTCTATGTGACTTCCAGGCCTAGAATTTAAGAGACCTTACAGTTTCCATTTTTACACTTTTGAAGCCTGAGTCATCATGTAAATTAGTCCAATTACTCTGCTGGAGAGAGAGGCTCTGCCAGACCCCAGGTAATCCGGTCATGCCAGCTGAGGCACCAGATACAGGAGTGAAGACGTTTTAGATTCTCCAGCAACACAGAGCAGACATACTCCAGCCAACACGATAGAGACAAGCCAGCCCTGAGTCCTGCCGAAATTGCAGAGTTGTAAGCAAATATATTACTGTTTCTTGTTTTTAAGTTCTTATATTTTGGGCTGGTGTTTGCATTTGGTTTTGTTGTAGCAGTAATAAATAACTGATACAAAGGTTATCTGATTTATAGTAAAGTACTTATGTATTCCTTAACCCAGCATACTCTGGTAGAGCAGAAAGCACTCCTTCATTCTCCTGCTAAAGCTATTGAGGAACCCATCTTGCAGATTTCCCAAGTAGAGTCAAACAGCAATCTAATAAAATTAAACATATACTTAACATATTGCTCCCAGAAACCCCACTTCTAGCCCAAGAAAAATGAAGACATGTTCACACAAAGATCTATATGCAAATTCTTAAAACAGCTTTATTTATAATTGCAAAGACTGGGGAACAACCCGAAAATAATCAACTGGTGATTAGGACAAATTCATTGATAAAACTACTGATATATGCAACAACACAAATGAATCTCAAAAGCAATATGATAATTGAAAGATGGTAGATACAAAAAGCTACATTCTATATGATTCTATTTATATGACATTCTCAAAAAGACAAAACTATAGGGACAAAAATCAAGTCAGTGTTTGTTAGTAGCTGAGAGTATGAGGAAATTGGCTACAAAGGAGCACTTGTGGGGGTGATGATATGGTGTTATTTATATGACTGCATACATTTATCAGAGCTCATAGGATTGTATACCTAAAAAAGACAGGTGCGTTTTACTGTATGTATATCTCAATAAAGCTGAATTAGCAAATAAATAAATAAACCTACTTGTGCCCTTCAATCATGGGAAACACATATCAAGCTAGCCAAATGGTCCCATTGAGGCCCCTTTCACTGGACTCACTTCCAATCCCTTTGGATGGTAAAAGGTGGTAATTACAGCACAACATAGCTGTCTCTAAATTAATCATCATTAAAAATCTTTCAACCTTCCAAAACTCCAAAACTGTTATACTTTTAACATGGGTGAATCATCTAACATATTCTCAGCTATTTCCTTTGAAAATCTGCATCTAGATCACCATACCCTTTGGAATGTGGCCTCTATTGTATCTTGGTGTCTCCATTGAAATTTTTGATCTATTACTCTTTCACATATATTTATATACATTATTGTAAAGTGACACTGCATTTAGAAAAAAAATTTTTCATGTCAATTGCTAGGAAATACTCATTTACCTACATATTTACTATTTGAA